GGGGGGGGGGGTTGGTCAAGTGTTTTAACCCTCCATTCGGGGGGTTAATTTAGTTCCTTACACAAGGTTGGTTGCATTTTACAAATTTGACCAACCCGCCCGAGGAGCTCCGATAGGAGCGCTCTGCTCTAGTGGATTAAAATAAGCATCATAACTGCAGTGTATAATGTCACCTTTCAGAAAAAGACTGGAAAGGCTGGAACACCTTCAACATTCGATACGACTTATTCCCAAAAACCAAAATCACATCTGTACCACTGCTATTACTCAGAATAAAATAATGCTCATTCTTAGATAAGGCTTTGGTCGCGTTTGCATCATATTTATGAACCAATTACAAGCATTAGGTGTCTGCTTTATTGCTACATAGGTAATTGAGTTGAGTGAAGAAAAATTTACCAGCTCTAAGTCCATTGTTGTTACACTTCCCTTTGAGGCAACCATTAAGTGTCATGAAAGAGGCCTGTGTTCCACTCTAAACCTAAAGTTTATGTTTTGATTGTTTGGCTTTTGGACCTTGTCCATTGACCCTTTTGAAGCTCAATCATTACAAACATCTGCTGATAAAACATTCAAATTTGATTTATTACAAGATACATAAATACCAACTTAACAATAGTCATCCACAATGTCAGGAGGATCAAGAATTCGGTCTGGATTTTTTGGAATGTATCTAGTTGAACTTTTTGTTGATGCTGGTGCCTTGGAATACATATTAATCAAAGAATCCGCGAATCCCTGCAATTGAATAAACATAAATGGGTTTATAGTACAATCCCATGAAAAAATTGCCAAACAGAACTCAATATTAGAACTATTTATAAGCTTAAGAAATTGATTACAAAAAATAGATAAAGAATATTCAAACAGTTGTGCGCGCTCCAAAATGTAAAATGGGCACAGCATAAATCATGTTAACAGCATATCAAGGCAAATTGACTTTTTGCAAAAACTACAGCTAATAACATATTTTGAAACAATTTTAAGATCAGATTATAAATTGTAGTTATAGCAGAACTTCTCAAGTGATTTACAAGATGCCTATTAATTTTCAGAATACATTCTTCAAATAACAGCTACTTTTAAAACACGGTAGCTGAACATTTATATTACAGAAGCCAAATTATACTTTTGGTTTACTCCCTACATGCAGCTCTAAAATATTTCAATTTGAAGACATTATTAGATCAACTTGTTTAATTCTAACTTGTAAGTGCTAAATTCCTGTTAATGAATGCAGAAATTCTCTGGCTAACAAAAAACTGATCTAAAAATAAATACATGAGCAATCTAGCCCTATAATACAAGCAACAAATCACCTGAAAATAATTCAGAATTGAAGTATCTTTAAACAACACACAGATAAGAGATTCCTAACATAAATAAGAAAATGTTATGTGTCATTTGCGGTGTCCAACATTCTACTTTGGGTTTTACTGAATGTGTTGACCTTCCATATTGTAACACTAGTTCTCTTAGTTGGCAAGCAGTAAGATTAACAATCGTTGTGGTGAGACAATCACCTACGAAATACCTGTTGTACCACAATGAAACAGAAAACTAGAAAACTTACAACAGGCCTTCCTGGTGCTTTGTTTTTGAAGGACAGAATCTTCATTTTATTAATTTCCCCACCAAAAAGACACTCTGATAAAAGGCGCCTGTATTCTTTCTGTGCAGGGCTTGTCGATTTATCTGCTTCTTGTTCCCTTGTCACCTGAAAGGAAATCACACCAACTCCATATAAATTCAATTTAGTTAAAGTTACATTATAAATATAAAATAACAGTTAACTCTCCACAGGCAAATTTGGACCCACCCCACCTCCCAAGTTCGAACCCAATTTTTATTTGTTATTCTGACACACACACAGACATGAATAATGAAAGTAACTTTTCTAGGTAGTTACCAACTCCTCAATACAATGCATCATGACACATTCCTCAAAATTGCTTGTAACCACATACGAGATAACATTTTAAACAGTGCCTATATACTACAGAAATACCAGCAAACATCACGCGTTTAGTAACTCAACACAGTTCTCAAACATTTCCCATATCACGATGTAATCTCTCAAGGTCCACAACCATTACAACCTGCATGGTACATAAACACCAATAAATTCTTTACCTTATAATGTGCAACTTCATAATTTGTTGTGCTTCTGACCGGAATGAATTGATCACCACCGATCGGAGTCTTGTGTGAAGCACCACCTGTTAAAATACACAAAATGGTTAAAATACTATTTAACAATAATGTACACATAAACTACAGACTCCCAAATAAAATATGAAAATACATGATGCATAAATTTCACTGACACATTTAATATTTATTTTAATTTGTCATCTATTATGAATCATACAGGAATCACCTTTTGTTAAACCCACAGCCAATAAACTGGCTTGCCAATTTGTAGACTTAATGATTGTAAAATCCTGACTGAGAATCAAACCTGAGTTGCCTGCACCATAGCCAAACTGAGTTATGGCAAGCAATGCAGCGATGCCTTCTAAAATAACAGTAAAGCAAGAGAAAAATAGAACTGTTTCCTTTTAAAGAAATTGTAAAGTATCAACAAATATGTTGGCCAAGAAGTCACAGGAGCGGCCACAGCAATACCGAAAAACGGGCCAAAAGTGGTGAGAATCAACTGACCAGATTCCCTTGTAACTTGACTAGAAGGAGTGCATACGGAGATTATTTTGATAACAATTAGAAACTTCTGAAAACCTTAATTTCACATTATACAAAACTCATGGCCTCTCTCTCAGTAATGCAGAGAACGAAGAAAAATTACTATTGCTAAGGAAAAAGCAGATTTGGACAAAGAAGTAAATGAGTTTCTGGTCCTAATTAAACATATATATTACAAGTAATGAACATATTTTATATATATACTTTACCTTGCCATTTCTTGGGTCTTTTCTTTATACCAATGGACTTAGTCTTCGACAAGGTTGGAGTGGAAGCTGTTTTCTTGGATACATTGCTAATTAAAAGAAAATTAGTGTCATAATCAAAGTTTAATAAACTGAAATTACTTACCCTCTTAAGAATTACA